GGGAAAAAAAACAGACAAGACAATATTTTAGAGACCTGCAATAAATGGTCTGTGTTGGTCTCAGGAGACCCAGTAACAGTGCATGAGTACAGTTTGCTCCTTTACTCAACAGCGTTCTCACTGCGTCAGGCAACTACAAGAACAGGTACTGGCAGGAACAAAGGTTGGAGTACAATTCACCTAAAAAGATTTTTAAAAAGGTAGCTACATTCATATGGCCTTAATGTGCCAAACAGTATGTGTTACTCACATGTGATCTATCTTTCAGAGGCTGTTGTGGTAAATGACCAGCAGAGAGGCCCTGTGTTACCCCGCTGAACGGCAGGGGGGATCAAACTGTGGCCCAGCTGGCGGATGTAGCTGTGTTACATTCACTGGAGTCCTGCTGAAAACAGCACAACGCAATGCAGGCGTACAGACTCTAGTTTTGCGGTTAATTCTCAGTCAAACCTGCCTAACCCCCCCCAATGATACAGATCAAAATCTCAACGGAGTGGAATATGAAGGCACACAAGTTCTAAAAGATGATACCACTAGTATAATGCTGTTAATATACCTACAGAGGTGTGAGATTTGCTCATTGCAAGTCCTGTCTTAACCACTGGACCTACACCAAGCATGAGAACTGAGCTTATCTCTTCACCAACCAGTCTAATAAATAAAAAAATTAAAAAGGGTCCATTTCTGGTCGAGGTATACCCTGCGGTCAGAGTACACGGTTCGTCGTTCAGAGGTTGCCTCCTCCCGGCTTGTAACCAGTGGCTCCTTGGTTCTGTTACATCAGTTTTCAGAGGAAGATGAGGCTGTGGAGGCAGTGACAGCAGTTTAGTCCACCTCGCTTTACAGTCACATTTGAAAAAGTGGACCCATTATTATGGTTTCCCACTCTGTGATTTTTATTTTTTACATTAGCATTGAAGGAGTCGCAGTTCTTCGTGTACGCCGTCTGAAATAACACTTGTGGCTCTTTCTACCTTCAAGCCAACTTTCTTATGATTGGCTGCACCACACAGCGAGAGAGTCATGTGATACTTACTGAGTGGTTTAAGCTTGATAAAGTGGCCCCGCAGTTTCTTCGATGGGTTCTGTAATAAATGAAGATTTAAAAAAAAACGAATGAGCATTTTAAAACAATGTTTTTGACGCTTCTCCAAAACAGCTGTGACAACAGAAAGGGCATCAAGAATTTAGTTATCCTTTTCCTGCTGTTAGAAAGGCCCCGGTGAATCTGAATACAATACATCCTGAGCCTTTTGTGACTCAGCTGCAGAGTCTTCACTCCAAAAAACAAAAAAACAAAACAGGAGCAGCACAGACTGTTCTCGCGTCAAGAACTACTTTACACCAGAGACGCCAAACAATTTGTAAGAGGATTACCTAACCCTGTCCCAGAAATCGTAATTGCATGCGCAAATGCTGCTCTTACCACTGATACTCAGTAGCTGACGGAAACTACGGAAACTACGGAAACTACGAAACTACGGCGCCACGTTTAATTCATAATTACAAGATAATGCACAGCAGCCTATTGGCCTTCCCTAAGCATCCTCCAGTTTTTCAGATTTCTCCAGGATCAAAATAATCTAGAGATCGTTCCCAGCACACAGCGGGAAAACAACTGTAAGCAGTGAACTTCATTTCCCTTCATTTTACACTAAAATAATGCATCAAAGGAAACACCTTTCTCCTGCGTCTTACCACGTAAAGGCCGTTTGTGCGACTTGCGTCGATGCACCATGACCCCGATGATCAGTGCAGCGCTGACCAGCACCACAGCCAGTACTGAGAAGCTGGTGATTGCTGCCAGTTTCCACACGTCAGGCGTCTCATCCACTGATTTGCCTATTTTAAAAAAAAACACCATTAGAATTCCACTTTAACACCAACACTTTTGTGTTAAACACAGCTAAAAGAAGCCATTTGGGGTTTTTTTATTATTGGCAATTAATGTCAAAACTCACCAATATAAATGACAAGAAACTGAAAATTTGGTTCACATCTTTTCTACGACAGATTGCTTTACTAACAGGCTGAAGAAGAGGGCATTCTTTGGGTAAGTGCAAACTAGTTTTTAATAATAATTTCACTTATTAAGGGAAAACCTATCCAAACCTACATGGCTCCGTGTGAAAAGGTATTTACCTCCTAAACCTAATAACTGGTCCTGCCACCTTATCTGGCAATGAGTCTTCTCATCGCTGTGGAGGAATTTTGTCCCACTTTGTGGAATCATTTTAATTCATACTGGAGAGTTGTCCATTACCAACAGCCTGATTAAGGTCATGCCAAAGCATGTCGATCTAATTTAAGTCCTGACTTTGATGAGGCCACTCCAAAATGTTGCATTCTCCGGGTCATTCGGAGGTGGACTTGAGCTTGAGTGTGCTTCAGCTTCAGGGTACAAGCTGATGGCTGGACATCCTCCTTCTGGATTTTCTGGTACAGAGCAGAATTCATGGTTCCATCAATTACAGCAGGTTGTCCTAAAGCAGCAAAGCAGCCCCAGACCATCACATAACCATCGCCATGTTTGACTGTTGGTATGATGTTTTACACGAGCTGTAACGGGACTCAAACCTTCAGCTTTTCTGTCGTCAGTTCCACAGATTATTTTTCAAAAGTCTTGAGGATCATCAAGATGTGCAGTCTCTTTCTTATTGTTGAATCGTGAACTCTGACCTTAACTGAGGCAAGTGAGCCCTGCAGTTCTTCAGATGTTGTTCTGGGGTCTCCTGGGTGAGTCATTGATGTGCTCTTGGGGTAATTTTGGTAGGTTAGCCGCTGTTCCATGTTTTCTCCATTTGTAGATAACAATGGTTCTCACTGTGGTGCACTGGAGTCCCAAAGCCTTAGAAAAGTCTTTGTAACTCTTTCAGTCTGATAGATGTCGGAGACTTTGTTTCTGAGCTGTTTCTTCAGATCCTGCAGGATGTGTTACTTTTTGAGATCTTTTAGCCTGCTTCACTTTGTCAGAAAGGTTCTGTTTAAGTAACTTCTTGATTCAGCAGGTCTGGCAGTAATCAGGTCTGTGTCTGGCTCATGAAATGGAGCAGAACCTTCCAAAAAATTGTTTAATCACAGTTAATTATTGATTTAACAAGACAGGGCAATTCGTTTTTCACACAGGGGCAGGTTGGTTGCGATAGCTTTTTCCCCTTTAATAAATGAAACCTTCACCAAAATACTTCATTTTGTATTTTCTCAGCTCATCTTTGTCCAATATTAGAATGTGTTTGATGATCTGAAACATGTAAGTGTGACCAGAAATCAGGAAGGGGGCAAATAATTTTTCACGGTAGCTCTGACACTCGACAAGCAAGTTTTAACAGATGTTTTAACAGATGCGACTCAGTGGCTCACATGTGTTGCAGGACGGGGTTTTCGGGTACTGCTTGCATGATTCACAGGGCAAGCAACCATCATAGTCTGAGCTCCAAAACTCCGAGCTCCGACACGGACCTGCACACACAGAGAAGCAGGTTAGTCGTGACATTTCATTTCCGGTCATTATCTCAAACCTTACACTGTAATCCTAGAAGGTAACCAAATAAACCATAATCAGGTGGTTTGAAGGAGAAATTAGGTTTCCATCCACCTATTACAGTAAAAACATGTGACCTGAACAGGACATCAAATGATTTCTCTTCTCATAAAGTGAAACAGGGAAATTCCTTTGTGGAGAATCTGTCGGTGCATCCCATCTGCACGACAGACAAGTAGTCGGTTTGGCGTGCGTGAACATTCGGGCCGTGTGTGTGAAGAGCAGGATGTGCTTTCACAGAGTGCTTCCGTCGAATTGTCTTATGCGCGTTTATGTGTGACTTCCAGAGAATAAATTTGCATCTGTGAGAAAAAGAAGTGGCAGTTTGGTTTAGCCCAGACAGAAAACGTCTACCTCTGCAGCCACGATGGACAGCTTCGTTTCTTTTTTCTGGCAGCCAGCCAGGCGGACAATTAAAGCCGTGCACTTCCTAGATGATAAGGAAAGGACAAGGCTAAAGATGTGAGACAGGCTGAGAGCAGAGGCCGTTTTATTGTTTTAATAGTGTGCGGTTTTCTCTCCAGCTTTAACATCCTGCATTTGGTTAAGAAACGCATATGCACTAATGCCCTGAAGACATGCATGAAGTACGATCTTTGCAAAAACAATATTACAACACAAAGTCAACCTAATGAGGTCAAACAATACCAGACATGACAGCATCACAGATAACAACAAGGAAACCGCCCAGAGACACTTGATAAATGATGATAATCATTCCTCATCAAATGTGTAACACACGCATTTGCATAGAATTTTAAAAAAAAAACAAACAAACATCTTTTATGCTCAACAATTTTAACAAGACACTACCTGAGTCATGATTTGTGGTAACATTTCATAACTGCTGGCTTTAACCACCGCTGACAGCAATAGCAAAACTCACAGAGGTGAACCTGACGCATATCAAAGTAGGGAAATGAAAGCGTAGGAAACTGCGGCAGTAACATGTAACAAATAATATTGCTACACCGAGTTCAGGAGACGACGCACCGCCTCATCAGTGCTGGAGCAGACAAAGGGGAAAGTAGAAACTACAACAGATCAGGCGGGCTTGGAGAAAAATGAAACAAAGAAGTGATGAATATCAATATGAAGTAAATCTCTTTAGTACTGTGCTATGGCTGAAGTATTCAAATCCTTTATTCCTGATCGCAAGACCTACTCTGTGGTTCAAAAGCCTGACTTAAATAGTAATATAAAAGTATTATCAGCAAAGTGTGAAACAAAGTTGCAGCAAATGAAGTAAAATAGATCCCACATTTAATAATGTGTCAATTTAACGAGCATCAAACAGTTTACATAATAAAGACTCTTGAAGTGATAATTCATTCTAGTTGAGGAGGAGTAATTAACAGGCTCTGAAACAAAAGCGTAGTATCTGTGGTTCAGCCCTAATAATGTCACAGTGACATTATTAGGCTTATCTCAGCTTTGCCTCAAAGGTGTGTTTTGTTTTTGTTTTTCTTCATAAATATTTTACCAGAAGTCGTCATAGCAAACTGGAAGCGTGACATTAAAATATTCTTAGTATTTAGGATGCACTTCAGGTCAAACCAGAGCTTGCTACCTAAGAACTCGTCACATTACTGATGCTTGGTTTCAACATTTTTTCCAACATTCAGGGGATAGTGATCCAGAGCAGCACCTTCTTGGCTGAAAAGATATTGAAAACAAAACAAAAAAAAAGTCTGCATGAAGAGGCTGAAGCCGGCTGGAGGACTTCCACCCAGGAGACAGATCTTGCCCTCCATTCTGGGAATGCTATTTTTTGATGGGTGTTGTTTTGTTTTTTACTTTTGTCAGTTGCCGTGTGGTTGGGTTTACGCATCAAACCTACTTTGTTAGGCTTATGAAAAGGTCATGGTTTCAGTTAAAATACATTGTTTCACAATTCTAACCACAGGTTGGAAGACAAACTAGCTATGGTGACGAATCACTCAACAATGACGACACCAGCAGGGAACATTCGGATTCAGTCTCTGGACATCTGTTTTCAGATGATGAGTTAATTCAGTTCAGTTCAACTTTATTTATATAGCTGCAAATCACAGCAACAGTTGCCTCAAGCTGCTTTATGTCGTAAACTAACAATAAACATTAATACAGAACCCTGTATGAGCAAACACTTAGCAACAGTGGGAAGGAAAAACTCCCTTTTAACAGGAATAAACTTGCAGCAGAACCAGGCTCAGGGAGAGGCAGCCGTCTCCATCATGGAGACAGGACAAAAGACAGAGGGACATCTGTTAAAGGCTATCAGAGCTTGCACATTGAAAATCTATGCTTAAGGGGTAAAATGCAAGGGGCCCTGACCATAGCCTGTAGATAAAAGATGGACACAGCCACTGTGACATCACTGACAGGGATTTATCTCTTGAAGTCTCAAGTTCGAGTCAGACTCAACATCTTATTTTTTTTAAATAAAGATGCCATCATATGCATATTCATACCATAGCAGCTTAAATTCATAAGCGAGCCGCACAGTGACGCATCCACGGCTTTGGTGTCGGTTTTATTTTTAATGGCAACCATAGTTTACAAAATGAACATCAGGCTGTATTACACATAAGTTGAAACTAGCAAATCGGACAATGAACACATCAGAAACATGGTGTTGAGGTATTAAAGAAAGTAAGAGGTATGGTCATTTTTACTGTTTTTCTAACCACACGAGTCGCCCCCTGCTGGCCATTAGAAAGAATGAAAGTTACAGAAAGTATAAGAAGCTACCAAATGAGAATGAAGGAGCTAAAAAGCTGTCACATCTATGCTGCTGATTAATGAAAGCTAAATATTAAAGAAGACAAATGTTTCTGTGTTGCGGGATGTGGAGAGCACTGGGCCAAATCCACCAGTCCAAACTGAACCTTACTTGGGAAACATTTTACATTCACTTCATTTGTCTCATCAGTCATAGCTTGAAGAAATCCAGAGTTAACTCTGAGACCTGCATGAGTATGCCGCTGTATGGTTTTTTTTGAGTACAGGTCATTGTTAGACCATCTGTAGTCAAAAGCCACCTGCTCATACACTCATGTTTGAAACATTTTGACCTCCTTTGACTTTGACTCTCTGGTTATATTACAGCCACATGCTCAGGCCCTCAGAGACTCTCCGTCCTCCACAGCCAGTCTCCCTCCAGGGTTTGACTGACTCATTTTATAGCCCTGGTCACAG